AAAGAAGTGATTGTCTTGGCTTAAGACACCTGAGAACATATCATTAAAACAAAAAACTCCACTTTCTAAGATTCATTAAACACATCTTGATGACATATATCACATCTAAGCCTTGAGTTTCTCTCAAGGTCCCTGCTGCTTGTGTAGCTCAGCTGGCTGCAGCTAAAGGGTCGTGTGCGTTTAGGCCAACATAATACCGATCTACCAGAAAGAGCCATCCTCTGGTCAGCTCTCACCATCCTTCTGTGGACCCAAAATATTCTAAAATGACTAAAGCTAAAATCTACATGCCGGTGTGTGCTTTCTATAACTTTCTTCAGTGTCCATAGTTGTCTTCTCTAATTAATTTATTTTTTGTTCCAAAGTGCCCAGTACTTCACATACTCATTTCACAAGTATCATCTGAATTCTTACTTGATTTCAGTTATTATGTTGTCTCTGGTGATATCAAATATGCAGCAATAGTTTGACCTTTGCCTCTAGTAGCACAATTCCCTTAAATTCCTTGAAAGAAATTTACTATGTAAATCTAAATTTTTCATAACTGTTCACATACTCTGAGTGTCCACTGTGGTTCCATCTAAACTTTCCCCACTCTTCTCTATTTTCCTATCTCTTTTAAGTACCTACTACATTTTCACTACTCCTGCAGGATGTTAGGAAGTGATATTGACTGGTATCTCCCTTTACGTTCCTTTGTTTACATCTTTAAATTTTTCCTCTGTCGAATTTCTTTCCACCTCAAGTGCAAAAGTCAACCGAAAATTTGATTAATGTAAGAAAACTAAAGAGTAGAACCAGATATAAAAGGATTTGAAGGAAAAGAATCCAATACACTCTGTCATATATACTACTTGTGTACATTACTAGCGGAAATGCAAAAGGAGTGTGGTCAGGTACTTTACAATCTTTTGAGTGGATTTAAACAAATATAATGTTCCCTTCCATCCTTCTCTGCTCCCTCCAATGCTCCCCTTCACCTTTGTAAAAACTCTATTTCCATTTTTCCTTTAATTCTCTCTTTTAAAAAAAAATCATTTACCCTTCCTTCCCTTCATTCCCCCTCCATCTCTTGTTCTCCTTCCCATTTGAAAAAGCTCTCCGTACCTAATCCCAGCGCTCAGAAGGTTGAGGCAGGCAAGATTTCAGTAGCCAAAAATCATTGAGATTCTCAGACTAAGGGGCTAAGTATGAGAAAACAGTAGCTCCAGAGAAAAGATTTTCAATGATGGGCCCGCTGTTCTGGGGCAGCCAGTGCTGGAGCCTTCAGACTTCCTGAAATCTCATTTGGTTTGCAGACGAGATTTTTTTCTAGACCACGTTTGATATTTATTTGATGATAGTGACGAGAGCCAACCAACCAGGATTAATTCATCTTGGCTTATACGTAAAATGGTTGGCACTGTCAACGCCAACAATTTAGTCCTCAAAATGATTGCTATGATTTGAATAGGAGTTGTGTTTTCCAGAAAGGTTCATGTGCTTGGAAACTTATCTCTAACACAGAGGTGCTAAAGTGGTAGAACCTGTAAGTGAGGCTTAGGTGTGTAGGTCACCAGGGCCACTGCCCTCAAAAGGAATTCACATGTTCTCACAGGACCCTGTTTAGCTTCCTTGAAAGAAAGTTGTTATAAAAGGAGCAAGCTTAGACCCTGAACTCCCTTGCTCCCTGTCTCGTAACGTGATTGTTCTCTTTCTCTCACATGTGTTCCTTCCATGATGTCATCCACCATATCGAGATGTAGCCAGAAAGCCCTCAGGGACTGATCATTGACTTTAACTTTCCACCAACACTGTGAGCTAAACAAATCTCTTTTCTTCTTTTCTTATGGATGTCAAGTGTTGAACCTAAGGCTTCAGGCATGCTAGGACACATTCTACCACTGCACTAACACCCCTATTCCAAACCTCTTTCTTTATAATGTTCCTAGCTTCAGGAATTTTGTTATTGCAATAGAAAACAGATTAACAGAGTGAATGACAGATAAAGCTAATATGAACAAGATATGGAGGACCTTTCTTCAAGGATAGAAGAAGTTCACAGAAAAACTACTGTTACCTGTGTCTAGAAAATGAAAACAGGAGGCAAACAGTTTCCCAGAGTTTCAAGCACAGTAAAAGAGAGATGCCTAACTTGAGCAGGAGAAAAAGACATAATTCAGAAAATAAGACATAGTTATAAACACTGGCAAAGAAGAAAGATGTAGTCAGGTGGTTGTTATACTTCTCTTTGTCTTTCAGTCTAGCATATATAAAGCATTACAGGAGACTAGGAATATGTATAAACACTGAGCAATAATCTGAGTGTGAATGAAACAAAGCTTCCCCTCTACATCTCCTCTACAAGAGATCTTCTGACCTTTCAGGAACTTCATCCTTACCATTTTTATTCCCTCATTTATCTATACTCTCCCTTACTCAAATTATATTTGGAGTTTTAAATGTAAATGAACTAGTCACTTTGAATTCACAAAGCATAACAAAAGAGTAACAAGCTACCCCTAGTTATTTATAAACGTGGCCTTGCAAATGAAACCCAAAAATTTGGAAAGAAAAAATTTTTAATGCAGAATAGAAGAGAAAAAGGATACAAGAGAAGTAGGTAGATATTGCAGTAGGACACTGTGAGGTCAATGGGATATTTTTTTTTTTTTTTTTTTTCCGAGACAGTGTCTCACTATGTAGCTGAGACTGACCTAGAACTCACTATGTAGCCAAGGTTGGTGTCGAACTCACAGTGATCCTACTGCCTCAGCCTCCCAAGTGCTGGGATTACAGGCATGCGCCACCACGCCCGGCTCTCAATGGGATATCTAAGGCAGTTGAATACTGTGATGTGAGACTCAGGTTTATGGCCATAATTTTTTATTTCCATTATATGTTATTGCACATTGTGGTATCTCCTTTAATGAAAAAGTTCAGTACAGAGCCTTATATTCATTTTATGCTTACAAAAATGGTTGTAGGAAGTTGCATAGGGTGAAGGTTCTCAGCCTGACCTGGTATGTGTGTCCTTTCCATAGAGAGACTAGAACATCCGTGAAATTCTGTGAGAGGTGCAAACGCATTTTTCTGAAGCAAGCCTTCATTGTTTTTTAATTTATTTTTTCAAAGGAATATATCACCTTAAAAAAATGCTATTCTAAGGAAAGTATGCTGGTTTGCAAGAAAGTCCATAAAAAATACCAGAACTGGATAGCTTAAAACTATACAAAATTTATTGTTTCACAGATTTGGGAGCAAGAGTTTGGAAGTAATAACTTGATAGGGTTGGTTCCTGCTGTGGGCTCCGAGGGAGGGATCTGCTTGAAACCTGTCTCCTTGTGTTTGTTACCCTCTACTCTTTCCATGAAGACGCCAACCATTTTGGAATAGGCATTCTCTCCACTGCAATACGACTTTATAACATATTTCATCCACAACAATCATATTTTAAAATAAGTTCAAATTCTAATGTCTTGAGGATTAGGAATTCAACATCTGAGTGTGGGAAGTATAGAACTCAATCCATAATGGAAAACATGGAGTAGAGTGCAAGATATCTTTTCTCTCATCTCAAGCATACATCCTCTCCAGAGAACTGACAGTCTCCCTCCGATTGTGAATAGGCCTAGCAGAATAGGGCAGTTTCGGTAGTTTAATATGAATACTAGAATATGTGCTTCAGTCATAAGAGACTAAATGATTTAATATAAAAGTGAAATGATTTAATCTACATATGGATTTAAATGATTAAATTCTTTCATATATTTAATTCCATGAGATTTCATACTCATGGAATAATGTTTGGCATTCACTATGTGTAAGTTCTGCAATCATTATATATACTCATTCATTGGTAATCCCTCATCTGCCCAATGCCCTCTTTTCACTCATATCTGAACCTTGTTCTGAATTCCTTGTGATTTTATCTTTCTTTTTCATAATAACAAGTTGTAGCTTTCTTGGGAGCTGGGAGCACCTAGAATTCCATATGTGTATGTGCATGTGTGTGTGCCTGTGTGTGTATGTGTGAGAGTGTGTGTGAGTGTGTGTGTGTGTGTGTGTATTCTATTACCTAAACTTGAGGAGGCATCATTTACCTGAAGTAAAACCTCTTAATAGTCCCTCTGTGAATGAGGTCACAAGGTTCTTGACACAGATCCAAATTGCTGAAGAAGAGATCAGCAAAAGACTGTAAATGTCCATTCCTATTCCTCTTTTTTTTTTTTTTTCCTATGAGCGATGCCAGTGTATATTCTGATGCCTAAGAAAGTAAATGCTACTTCCTTTGCTATGTTATCCTGACTTGGTTAGAGGTAAAATTGATTTCATTGAGCAAAATTCTCTCATGTGCTTCTTCAGAGGACTCTTGGCCTTCAAGCAGAGTTCATACTCTTTTTATGTTTCAAAATGTGCTCGCTCTTGTAGTTTTCTATAGCAATTATTATACAGTGAATATTTGTACTCTTTCTTTGAATCGTACTTATCTGGTGCTCTAGTTCAAGGATAAACCATTGACAAAACAGTCATTTTGTTTCCTAAAGTAAACTCCTCATAGCAGACCCATTAAATAATATTAAATGTATTAATTTAATTTCAATTGATAATTAATGAATTTCTACCACATCCTGGTAGATGTGCTTGTCAAAAAAGACACAAGGACAAAATGGAACGAGATTGCAGTTTTAGGAATTAATAGCTATTGGTTGCCATTGTGCCACATACTATGTGAAGATTTGTACCATAAAAACAAACTTACACCACAGCTAGTCAAGTAGCAATATATAACTGCACAATCACGCCTTTTTTACTTTATTAGACAGCCCTTCTTCATTCCCAAATATGACTAAAAGTCTACTAGTAACGCCCAGGTAGAAGTGTCTGGCATTGTCAATAAAATGGTAATTTGAACATAGTCATATATGCATTACTCATATAAAGCTTAGAATCCAATGAAGACACATTAATCAAATAATCAGTCAAATTAACAAAAATATTTTAATTTAAAAATCCATGGCAGGGGAAACAAATACATGTTTCTAATAATCAATTGCCTCAAGAAAGGGGTCTAATAAGAATGATGTTACACGAAGATCTAAAGAGGAGCATTTATTTAAAGCCAAGCTTCATGACCACTTCTGGCAATATGGGGTAGACATAGGTTTTCCCACTCTTCACTCTAAGCACAAGGAAAACTCCTGACATTACATATGAACCAAACATCAGAAGAGGGTGAAAGATGGGTAGAGGAAAGCAACCTATCTAGAGGCCCCAGAACCTAAGGGTGGTAAATTCCATAGGTTTTCTTTGTGCCACTTTGATGAGAGCAGGACTGATGCCATCTTAAGCTTCTGACTGGTTCCCAACTTAACTCTCTGAGTCTAAACTCGTGTGTGACCGGTGTGATAACCATCCAACCTGTGCACCTGTGTGACTACTTGTGTGCTAACCATAAGGTGTGATACACATAGTCTGCCTGCCAAACGTACTTCGTGAACTCCTTTTGAGAAACTTTGAAAAAATAAATGCTTTCTAAACGATATATTTTTACCATAAATAAAAATATATTTTCACCACCATAAAATCGACACATGTTGTTTGTAGCAAACTCCTCACAGCATAGAAGAGGAAGCCTCTGGCTGCTGTCCTACTCAGCCTCTGACTCAGTGCTGGTGGACTTTGCTCCACACTGTTTTCAGCAGACCTGCTGCTGGCGCTCCACAGCTGTTGGGATCCTCACTCTGCCGTCCAGAACCCTCCACGCTGGGCTGCATCGGCCTCCAGATCTCGTGAGTGCTGCGGGCTGGACCCCCACCCCGTGCTCGCAGTGCTGTTGCAGGGTGGAAGAAAGGTTCTGTAATGGTGGTGCCACCTCCGACTTCTTGACCCCCTCCATCTTGCTGTGAATGCGGTAAGTGCTAGATAAACCCTTGCATTCTGTACCTTGCTCTTCTCTTGTGGTCTTTTCTTGGCCGAAGCTCTTACTCCCTTTGGCTCCTTCAAGCCACAGGGTGGCCTGAATCAGAGGACTTTTTGGCCTCAGGAGCGGCCTCCATGTTCACTTGCAACACAATTTTTATATACTACTTTGGGAACAGAAAAAAGTAGTAAAACAGCAACAGGTACAGACCAAAAGTCAAAGCAAAAACATGATCTCTTTAACCACGAGAAAAGAAACATTAGCAAGACAGGTAACTTTTACACACCAAATCTCATGGAAAACTGAGCTCATGCCCCTTCCTATGGGGAACCTAGAATCCTAACCTGGAAAACTCTAAAAATGCTCTGAACAGTTAAGAAGGGATTGTGTGGGAACCAAACTGGGGAGATGGAATGAAGCCACTCTAGCCAGTAATTAGCACCCCTCATAATGTCGATGCAAATCACATCGCCGAGGCTTCAGCGCGGCCCTGCAATGAGGCAATGTCCTTCTCATGCACACTAGGATGCTGTCGAGGAAGCTGAACAGAAAGTCAGAACTTTAACTCTCGCCCACACACAATGAGGCACAGCCACTGTCTGGTCAGTAGAGACCATTTATGGGACTTAACTCTCACTCTTGCCCAGAAGCAACAGGAAGCTGGCATTCACATGTCAATATAGGCTATATAAGGAATCTAGATTCTCTTGGAAATAAAAAGGCTGTGTGCTTAATCCTCTCCTTTTGCTGAAGCACTATCACAGGGGAAAAATATTTCAGTAATACTTAACATTCTCAGAACATAATTAGAAAATGTCTAGGTTTCAGTGGAAAATCTGTAGTAATTCCAAGAACCAGGATGATTTCAAATTCAATGAAGAAAACTGAGTAAATGGGTTCTCCAGCAGAACACAGAATCTGGAAATGGAAGTACACAATCTGAGATATAGGAAAAATGCAGGGAAAAAGTGACCCTTTAAGATTTGTGCAATAATTTAAAAATCTGATATTCATATTTATGGAGCCCAAGAAGAGAGAGGAGAGGACAAAGAATTTAGAGAACTAGAAAAAAGCTAATGAATATTGCATTTGAGGAGAGGCATTAATCTGTAGATTCTAGAAGCTCAGTGAACCCTGTAACAAGATAAAATTTAATTCATGAAAAGTAGCACCCTAATTTAACTTCTGAAAATGTCTGAAAAAAGAGAGAAAAAAGTCATTAACACAGCCAGAGAAAAACAGCATCTCACCTATATAGGAAAATCAATTTAAGTCACACCTGACTTTGGTATGGCTTCATGCCAAAGAAGCCTTGGGAATGGGAACAGTATTTTATAGAGCTGGGGGAAAAATAGTTGGCAACTCAGAATTCTATAGCTAAAGAAATATCCTGTAGGAATGAGGAAAATTTTGTACACCTCAGATCAAAGAAAATTGAACGAATCATGTACCTACCCTAAAAGAATGTAAAAGGGTGATTACATTTCTGTGTGCTAGCTTTCAATTATGCAGATGCAAAATTAATACGAAAATCAAACTGCTGATACACAGTAGCCTGGAAAATATCTCCAAAGAATTATTCAAATTTTTTAAAAAGCTGATTTCAATGATTGCATAATCCATGATCCCATGCTTGGAATATTATTGAAATGACAGGGTACGTACATGGAGAACAGATCAATGGTTGCCAAAGGTTAACTGAGAATAGGAATGATATAGGTTATAGTTATTGAAGGACTAATTTAGAGATCTTTGCAGTAACCAAATGGTTGTTTTACCATTGAAGAACTGGACAAAGAATACGAAGAATCTTGCTCCTTAAGGTGTTTATATCTTGAGTTCTTTATTTAAGACAATACGATAGTTAATTTTCTTTGTCAAATCTACTTCACTTAGCATAATGGTCTCCAGACCCTTTCATAGGACTTAATGAAGGTGGGAAGAAGACCTGGGGAAAGTGGAGAGGGGTGTACAAGATGAATGTAATTGCTATGTATTGCAAAAATATACAAAAAATTAAAAAGAATATGTAGGACCTGCCTGCATTGTTTTTAAACCCACATATGAGGCTAAAAACACTGTTGATAGATACATATTATTCCCAATATACAAAATCATTTGTGGAACAGTCTTGGCAGGGGAAAATATTGTATGCCCAATTAACCATAGAACAGTAGTTTAGCTGAAAGGCTGAGAGCAAGGAGTGTGGATATATCTAGGTCAAGAAAGAAAGAAGAGGTACAGATAGATAGTGGACAAGGTAAAAAAAAACCTAATTTTCAGGGATATGTGTACTGTGCAGAGCCATGTGAGTCATCTTAAAGACTTTGATTTTGATTTAAAAGTAGAGAGCCATTGCAGTGTGGTGAACTAAAAAATGGCTTAATCAGAATTGCATTTTGAAAAGAAAAATCACCAACTACCATGTGGAAAATAAGTAAAAGCAGGAATCTCTCCACTGTGCTGTTCACAGTTTAATTATGCTGCTCCACCTAAAGAGGTTCATTCCCTAATAGAGAAGCTGCCTGGAGAATCATATGATTGATTAATCAGTTGCCTTGAGCTAAACTCTCCTATGATGTGTCTATGGGAAAATTCCCGTGGAGTTAAAAAGGAGAAAACATCTAAAAATTGGTTTGATGTGTTGACTATTTTAATTCATCAACCAGGTAGGCATGATCAAAAGCAGGCAGAGTAATCTTTGTGACCTCCACCAAAGAAAGGAAAGTCTTGCTTCAGCTTCTAAAATAAATCATTTCACAGAGACATTATAAATATTGATGGTAATAGGTTTTTCTGCAGTGTTTGCAAGAGATTTAATACATTTAGACACAATAAAAGAGTTGTTCATGAAAACTAATAGAATGAGAAAAAATGACCCTATGTCACAATTTATTTTGACCCAATCTGTCACCTTTTGTTTTGAAAGAAAACATTAGTGACATTAAAGCATAGTTTTAAGATTCTTACTTCACTTGTTGTCTGCCTTTTACCTAAGGATGTGGTCCATACCAATTATTCTAAATCATGGTTTGACTATAGAAAGCAACCAATTTTTAAAATTTCCCATCTTGATTTTAAAAATCAGTTTAAATTGTTTTTCTCACAACTTTGAATACATTTCCTCTTTTTTTAATATCATGAAGGAAATGCCTAAGTGAACTACCAGTTTCTCATATTAAACCATCATTTATTGAACTGCATTCGTTTAATCATTACAATGATGCACTAAAATGTTCAGAAGAATCTATATAGTTTGTTGAGGATTATAAAAGCTTCAAATCCAGTCTTCAGAATTGCAAAGGGTCTGTACCCACAGCTTCTCCACTTGTTAGCCATGAACTGTATCTGATCATAGAAGTCTTATAATATACTGTTCTGAATTAAAATGTTAGAAGTGCAAACTAAACACCAGATTTTGAAGATTATAAAATAGCTCACTAATACTTTAATATTGATTGTATATTGAAAATAATTATCTGAATATATTCAGTCAAATTAAACATATTATTAAAATTGATTTAACTGGTTTCTTCTCTCTCTAATTTTAAAATTGTGTGGTTCCTGTTCTTTTGCTCTTGGATGCGGTGCCACACGTCTTCTCAACTGTACCACTGAGCACTGACATTTGTCTGAAATGCACGCGCCTCTCTCCACTCCCACCTTTTGAGGCTCACCTTTCCCTTAGAAAATGATCAATTTTGCCAGCACTGTCATCCCGCACTCTGTACTGACACTCTGCACTTCAAATTCTGAAGCCAGATGGTGGTTTTCAAACTGTAATCTGACCCTATTCCTTCACCATTTCTATCTGTCCGGAGGACACCCATTGCCTGCAGGGTTAAATGCAGGATTCTCACCGTGCTCTACATGACTTTCTGCGGTTCAGTTTTACATATATGTAGCCCATAATGAACATGCTAGAATCCTCTCACTGAGCCAACACTTCAGACACGTTCTGCCCTATGCCATTGTTTATATTCAAATATTGAAACACCTTCCTTAAACACTTAAACTTCTTTACAGTTTAACTCTTAAATACATCATATTCCAACCGTTGTCAGATGTGTTTGATCCTCACCATACTACTGTGTTTATAAAAAAGGATATTTTTATCTTAGCATATAGTATTCATTAAATGTTTATAATTTCCGTGAAATAAAACAGCTAAAGAATGAGTTGTTAACTCAAAAGAAAGGAGTCTGCTGAGTTATCCAATAGCTGTAAATAAGTGAAAGAACTCTAAGCAGATGGCAATGAACAACTGTTCTTCATTTTTGCTAAAAACCAAAGAGAAGTAATTGGATGAAATTATAGCGATGAGACAGTTAAATACATTAAAATTTTTGTTATTCAGAACTTGGTCAACTGAAATATTCCAGAAATCAATGTTTCTACTTTCACAAAACAGAAAAATTCAGCTTAAATGAAGGCAAACTAGAATAGAATTACATAAATAACATGGAAGGAGCATATTGTTCCTGAGATATCTTGTTTATGGATACTAATTTGAAGTAACAAATCCATTTCGATCTCTGGTCTATAAAATTTGCTCTTTGTGATTCAAATGTAACAATTAGGGCCTGCTACTTTATCTGCTTCTCACAAGAAATAATAAGAAAGCTAAAGAAATCTGAAGCCACCCGAATGAATCAGAATTGTTTGTGAATACACCCACCTACAAAGAATTCAGAGACAAAGTCTTGCTGGTTAAAAGTATCTGATTAAGCTGGGGATTTAGCTCAGCGGTTTGGTGGCCTGCCTCACAAGCACAAGGACCCTAGCTTGATCCCTGTTACAAGAAAAAAAAAATCTGATTAAATTTTGTAAACAAACAAAAGAAACATTTTTTTGCAGTAGGTTGCTAGTACATATTAAGATCTTTAAAGGTATATCTATTGTTTTTCCTTTTTATTTTTTAAATAAATATATATTGTGACTTACCTATGTACCTGTGCTTCTAGATACTACCCCTTGTCTATTTACATTAGATTCAGGTTAATTGTGCTTCTTAACATAAAGATCTAAATATCATTTAAAAAATCTCTTAACAACTATGTTGTAATACACAATGTAAAAAGGTTATTATATCTACTTTCTACAGGGCTCTCCATAGAAAAATATTTTTGTAGAATGTAAATAAGTATTATTTGAAAAGTATTCAGAAAAAAAAAGTTCCACAGAACAAAAGTGCTAGGGATTCAAAAATAAATTTAAAAGATTAAATTATAGCATATTTCCCCAAAGCCTTTGTTCTTACTACATTTTATTAAATCTTTGTACAACAAAATGTACAGCACTCTGTTCAAAAGATTGAACAAATGATAACTCATTCAGTCTTCAAAACAATCTCCAGAGATAGGTATTAATTTCCCCCCTTTGTTTTACAGATAAGAAGACAAGTTCCGAGAGGTTAAGTAGTTTGCCCAGTTTCAGGCAGAATCTATCCTGTCTCACTTCTTAAATAGTTCTTTTCTTCTTCTCTACGATTTTGTAGGTAAAAATCCATGTAGTAAAGGTATGAAGGTCAAAGACGAACACCGTACCCAGGGGTCAAACAACAGAATTTTTGTGGGATCAATACATTTGAGCACTGTCCTCGGAGACTTAAATCTGTACCACACAAGAGAAGGATCGCAAACAAGAACATTGAGGAAAACGGTACTCACCTTTTCAGCAAAGCAGCTTCAGCTCTGTGTGGCCACTTCCATTGTTCATTCAAGGCACCATAAACAGGAAGAAACACCTGAGGTGGAAGTTGAGACAGATAATAGTCACTTTGGAGGACTATCGCCAGCTCTCATTGAGGGGAATAGCCATATGCTTAGAAGAACAGCCCCCGCTCAAATGGCCACATTCCAATCCCTGGTGCCTGGGAAGGTTACCTTACAAGGCAGAGAGGACTTTGCAGAGGAGACAAAAACGTTGATATGAAAAGACTTTCCTAGATCACACGAGTGGCCTCAAAGTAATTACAGGTCTCTTTAATTGTAACCAAACACAGAAATTCAGGGAGATAAGACTCTGGAAGAACAAAGAATAGCAAAGCTGTTATATCTCAACATGGGCATGCTGGGCCTCCAGCAGCTAGAGAAGACAGGAAAATGAATTCTTCTCTCTTCTGCAGCTTCCAGGAAGAAACAGCCCTACTGACAAACTCACCTTAGCCCTACGAGACCTGTGTCAAATGTCTCCTCTACAGCAGTAAAAGTAATAGGTTTCTACTTTGCAGCAACACACTTTTAGATGATAATATTTGTACTGTTTTAAAACATTAAACTTGTGGTAATTTATTACAGAAACAAAAGAAATCCAATAAATTTTCCTAAAGGAACTCAGGCCGTGAGGGAAAAATAATAGTTGATAGTGTTTGGTGACATTTTTACAGACAGACAAATTGTACCAAAGAAAGATTAATCAGCAGGAATTCTGCTTGATAGGACATAGGATGGAACAGAAAAAAGGATAAGTTGCAATTCCCCAAACTATATTTTCCTAAAATAAAGCTGTCAAAGGTTCATTTGGGTACCCAATTATATTTAATAAATATGATTAGAGTAAAATGTAACAAAACCAAAGACATTGTTGTAAATAATAGGTCAAGTTAAAGTAGAAAACATGAATTTTGGACCACCAAAAAAACCTTTCTGAATCTCTGTTACGGGGTTACATAAATACCAGAATCTTACATTCAGTATTTGAAACTAATCAGCTCAAGTAGAAATACTCAACATTATGCCACTATCTCCCTCCCCATTAATTCCACATTTTCCCTTAAATATTTTCAGGATTATGTAAAATGCTTCTAAGGAATGCCTTCTGATTTTCTTTACCCTCAAAATGATGATTTCAAAACTTTATGACATATTTTTACAAGGAGCCTCATTCTGTAATGGATTCACATTAAACATGTCCATTAAAAATCCAACCAAATAATATTTTTTTCATTATAAACCCATCCCTAACCCAGGACCTTCACCCAGTTCTCTCTCTATGTCTTCAACTCATTACTAAGCCAAACAACTCTAAAAATTAGTTAGGAAATCAGAGTACAATTTCCATATTGTTGCTGATGGTGTTGCCTCAGTAGCTCCTTGATCCATCCAAAATCTTTATTTCCATTTCAATGTAATTCTTTTTATTCATCACTATGAGGTCAAACAATGGATTTTATGCTTTCAACAGCAGGCACTGTGGTAAAATTAGGAAATGCATGATTTTAATACACTTTCTTCAATTATTGCTTCTTAACAAACAGACCAGCACTTATTTTAAAACAATTTTAAAAACACTTGTCATTATGGATCAGAAACTCAGAAATGAAGTCAGTATAGGTTCTGAAGTAGGTGGTAAGCTTTGTTTATCCTTAAGATATGTAGGCACCTATTATCGAAAATTCATGTTTTTGTTGTCATAAATTTAGAATGAGAATGCAGACTGAGTCTCTGTAGCCAGCAGAATGCACTGACTACAATAATCAACACTGAGTGAACTAATAGCATGTGAAATTAAAAACTGAAATAGGATTGATCGAGAATGAACAAAGTTAACAGTTTGCTTGGGCAATGCTTTCTGTAAGGTAAAGGATATGTATAGTTCTTTATTTTGTGTACCAAAAGTGTTATTTTTATCTCTCCTAACATTATAATTATCTTTTTACAAGTAAGCACCTAATTTTACTTTGAAACTGGAAGCAGATTTGTTTTTCATTTTCCACTCAAGGAGACATATAGTCTTTATCTGTCATAAAATTTCTCTAGAATATACTATATTTTTTCTACCATAAGATTCTATAACATTTATACCAAGTGTTCCTTAACTGGGTAAACAGTCATTAAAAAAAATTTTTTTGAGGCACTGATATGTATTTTAATGGCCTGTATAATAGAAACATTAACTAGAAATAAAACGTGAAGAAAGTCAGTTTAACTAATTTTCTCTCTCATAACAATTCTCACAGGGTTGTTATCATGTTTAAATTAAATGCAGACTGTCCCTCAGGTTAAGATTTGAAACCTAATATAATGCACAATTGTTTTCAGAATAAAAATATCTTGAAGTTCTTATTCAGGCAGAACTTGGTTTTGTTTCAGCTTAGAAAACTAAACTTAGGTCACTTTTAGGAAAAGACAGGCAGGATTATATATGATATGTTACCTTGTAGAAAAGTACTTATAAGTTTACATACTCATTCACTTGCTGATTGTAATAATTCAAAAGGTGTCTACTGAGTCTCTGAGCTGGGCCAAAAGTGGTGATGACTCATCCTTATATTTTACTTAAAGAAACAGACATTTTTTAAAACCTGGTTAGCTTTTTTAAATTTAGTTTGTGTTGAAGATATCTAGTAATGTTGGCAAAGTCCTCAAAAATTTACAAACTATTTAAACAACTACCTACAACACAATTTGATTGACCTTATTTGTTTCTTATAATGGCCAAAACAAATCAGAGACTGAATTGTCTCTTGATCCTACACAACACAACTGCTTAGCAGGCATTAATTATGACTGTTGATTATTCTATTTGAAAAGCTATGGAAAGAAATAGTTCCCTATGTCAGTCACTTGAAAAACATACCTTAGATTGTCTTCTAAAGTAAATCTTTAGCTAACTATTGGGTTTCACTTGGGATAAATAATATTAATTAATGATGAAAAATTAAAACCAAATAACTAAAAGGAAATTGATATTGGTAACCTGTAGGAGAAAATAAAATTTATCATTTAGTCAATAATATGAATGTGTATTTCTTATTATGTAATGGCTTATACCCGATTTTACAATTCAAAGATTTCAGTGGTTTGGATTATACAGTGTGGCTTTTAAAATTCCTTGGCAGGATGCAAATAAATTTCATACAAACAGCTTCTCTAATATCCTAATAAACTGATATCAAAACACTTCTATATTAAGACTAATCACTGTCAGTGTAATTAGAAAGTAGTTGATTTTGCTAAGAATCCCATGACAAATGTATGAGACATTTTATTTCTTTCATGCAAATAAAAGTATGTTTAAGGTTGCCAACATTCCTTACTTAAAATAAAATATTTGTTGGTAATAACTGGAAACAAGTTGTTGAATTAGATTTTTAACTTATTCAAGGTACTTGGTATGAGAAGTAAGTGTTGTTCTAAATGCACTGCACATTGAGGCCATACTCTTAAGTGAAATAAGTAGGACACACATGTGTAAATACCGAATAGTTTCTCTGGTGTGAAAAACTAAAAGTGTAAATAAGGTTCAAATTGTATAATTGATATTGTGAAATAGGAAGAAAAGGGCTAAAGGAATAGGGGAATTGAGAGGGGTAGGGGAAAGGAAAGAAGGGGAAGCTATGAGAAAATGAAAAAATGACAACAAATAGGGAAATATGGAAGTATGGATTGGGGTGAAAGGAGAGCGGAAATGTGGGGAAAATGAAGAAGAACCAAGATACATCATGTAAAGGTACAAGGTCCCAGTGATGAATGTAACTGTACTGAATACCTAAAAAGTACCAATAAACAATGAAAAAAGAGAAGAAATAAGAGTTGTTGTATTTATGAGACTTTTGAATTCTCATTTAAAATAAAACTTCAGGGGCTTGGGATTTGGCTCAGTGGTTCTCCTGCCTGCCTTGCAAGTGCAAGGGCCTGAGTTCAGTCCCAGGCATCAAAAAACAAACAAAAAAAACTTTGGATCCTTTTCTTCAAACTAAATTTGACTTAGCATTTTTGTATATAAACACACAGCTGCAGTTATAGGAAATAATTTAAGACCTTTTTAAAAAATATCCCACAAAAAATGCCACAATCATGCATCATTTTCTCAATATCAGCAGTGTCTTTGAAGGACCATGTGAAGATGACTAAAAGTCTAAATATTTTGACTGTACATTCTCATAGTGTGTGGCAGTTACATTTTAGAAAGTCACCGCATGCATTGAACAAGCAAGTATGGACCATAGTTCTTAAGGAAACACAAAGTTAGGTTCCTATGAACTTCTGGTCATGTTTTCTTCAGTCTGTTAAACTTAACCTTGGCTTTGGATATTTCTGTTTAAAGACATCTTCATATACACTTGTCACAAAAAACTACTTATATACAATATTCTTTTTACTAAACCATTAGCATTTTCAAAAGGATTGAACATTTTCTTGGTTTTTTGTAATATGACTGTACATTTATTATAGCCTTAAGACAAAAGTGCTTTTTTAAAACTGGTGTTATCTTATAAATCCACAAATTTAAAAGTTGTCTCATATTATACACATTATAGGTATGATTTCAGCCCTCTATGAGTGACTGCACATACAGATCAGCAAAGGTTATCTTCCTTTTTCTAGATGTACTGTATTGTGGATTCATTAACATTTAGCTCATGGTTAACTAACTGTATTAGAACTTATGGTTCAAAAAAGTTTATCTGACACACATTTTCTCCATGAGTAATATCATTGTCTTATTATGCTTAAGAATATTAGACTGGTTCAACAGCCGGTAACCTTGGGGTTCATTTAAAATAGCAAAATCACTATCAAAAAGCATAAAAAGGTGAAAAGGGATGTTTACAGTAGAAGAGCTGAAACAAGAAGAAACCTCAGTTAGCTGGAAACATGTACTACAGGTAACTCAAAATTTTACCATCATGCAAGTCAATGAATGATTGCCAATGTGCCGTGAGGGTTTATTTGGGAATTACAAAAAAAAAAAATCATAAAATGAGAAAATTTGCAAATATGGAATTCATGAACAGAAAGGATCAAGTATATTTTGTTGAGAACAAAACTTAGAAATGTTTAGTGGTTTGTCCAGGACTGTAAGCCAAGGTAAAACAATGACTAGCATTTAATTGTTCTACCTCCATACCTTACCGCTCCATCCTTACCACCTGTAAGCATTTCTCCTAAGTGTAGCAAGTAATGTCAGAAAATACCAGTCAGTATATTGGCAGCCAGGG